TTGCTTTTGCAGTATGCTTTGGGTCATTGTCTATCTGTACTGTGAAGCGGCGCCCAATGAGTTGTGAAGCATTTGGCTGAATATGAGCAGATAATATTGCCCGAAACACTTCAGAATTCATCCTGCTGCTTTTGTCAGCAGTCACATCATCAATAAATACAAGAGAACCAGTTCCATTGGCAGCCATACATGCCCACGCCATGACACTACCACCACCATGCTTCACTGATGAGGTGGTATGCTTAGGATCATGAGCAGTTCCTTTCCTTCTCCATTTTATTCTCTTCCCATCACTCTGGTACAAGTTGATCTTGGTCTCATCTGTCCATAGGATGTTGATCCAGAACTGTGAAGGATTTTTTAGATGTCGTTTGGCAAATTCTAATCTGGCCCTCCTGTTTTTGAGGCTCACCAATGGTTTACATCTTGTGGTGAACCCTCTGTATTCACTCTGGTGAAGTCTTCTCTTGATTGTTGACTTTGACACACATACGCCTACCTCCTGGAGAGTGTTCTTGATCTGGCCAACTGTTGTGAAGGGTGTTTTCTTCACCAGGGAAAGAATTCTTCGGTCATCCACCACAGTTGTTTTCCGTGGTCTTCCGGGTCTTTTGGTGTTGCTGAGCTCACCGGTGCGTTCCTTCTTTTTAAGAATGTTCCAAACAGTTGTTTTGGCCACGCCTAATGTTTTTGCTATCTCACTGAGGGGTTTGGTTTTTTTTTCAGCCTAATGATGGCTGGCTTCACTGATAGTGACAGCTCTTTGGATCTCATCTTGAGAGTTGACAGCAACAGATTCCAAATGCAAATAGCACACTTGAAATGAACTCTGGACCTTTTATCTGCTCATTGTAATTGGGATAATGAGGGAATAACACACACCTGGCCATGGAACAACTGAGAAGCCAATTGTCCCATTACTTTTGGTCCCTTAACAAGTGGGAGGCATATATGCAAACTGTAAGTACCCTCAAATTAAAGCTGACAGTCTGCAGTTAAAGCACATCTTGTTCGTTTCATTTCAAATCCATTGTGGTGGTGTATAGAGCCAAAAATGTTAGAATTGTGTCGATGTCCCAATATTTATGGACCTGACTGTATATACTATAATATGTTATATCTATATAAAATATAGATATATACAGTATATATATAAATATATAAAAATAAATATATATACTGTAAAAGTATAAATATATCTATATATATATAAAATCAGTTTAATGTAAATCACATCACCAATTTGCATTGTTTCACACAGTCCAAGGAGCCCCGTTTCTGTGTGAAGTTTGATAAGCACATAGTGATGGCCATATTTGCTTATTTTTCTGATTAGTGATTGTATTTTACTGTTACTCTCCTCTCAGTGCAAGTCTACAAGAAGGTCAGTGCTGAACTATAAACTTTGTGTTGGCCTTATAAAAAAAAAAAAAGAGTGATAATTATTCAAGGCATCTTCTACCTTTTGTTAAAAATGAATAAATGCACCAGTATTCAATAAAGAAAAAATATGCAATGATTAATTTTTTGCATTGGAAGCTGCTAAGCACTGCAACCGCGATCAGTGGATTTTGGGTGTAATGCACAGGCTCCTAAAGACTCTTCCCGCACCCCAGGTCCATACAGAGGAAACATTTTGTTGTGGGATCTATTGTTGCTGGGGGGATCTATTGTTGCTGGGGGGATCTATTGTTGCTGGGGGATTATTGTTGCTGGGGGATCTATTGTTGCTGGGGGATATATATTGTTGCCGGGGGGTCTATTGTTGCAGGTGGGATATATTGTTGCGGGGGGGTCTATTGTTGCAGGGGGATCTATTGTTGCTGGATGCTGGGGATCTATTTTAGTCCTTTTGTAGTTATCATTAACAACTTTCATACAAATTACTTGGAACCACAAAATAATATTTGGTGCAGTATTCTCTAAAAGGGTCAGTACTGGGAGGTGGGTAGGGGGTGGAACCAAGGGCTGGTGCTCAGAGGTGGACTGGAGCAGAGACCAGGGGTGACTCAGATGGAGGGAGTACCTGCACCTACTGTATTCTTTGAGAAAAAAAAGCCGTGCCTGGTCTGCTCGCTTGCCTTCTGCCGAATGACAGGTCTGATGGATGACAGTTATTATATACAAGGGGAGGTCTCCTGGGTGATGTCATTGACCATATAAGAACATGACTATACCATTACACTATTTAAAATTCAATTAAAAGAATCTTCAAGAAAAGAAAACCTGCAAGAAATTGGCACTGTAATTAATATTGCTTTTTTCTTTCTGCAATTCATTTTCTTGCAGAACTTTTATGACTGCCAGCTGCATGGTTTAATATTAAGATAACCACTAGAGGGAGTAACGTAAACTATGATCATAATACATAATAATCAAAATATGGCAAACATTATTTTACAAATGACTTTTAGGTAACGTTTACCCCTATAACTGACATGCAATGGGCTAGGTCTCCTGATACATAACCTGCTAACAAACTGCAGACTTTCTACAAACTTGGCGATTAACGTACTGCTTGTGCCCCCAAGTGGCGGGCCAGTAACAGTGCATTTTCCACTTCAAGCCTGACATTTTTCGATGATTAAAGGGGATGCATTGGAAGTCGAAGAGCGCTATTAATTCTCCTCTACTTGAACGTGACCTTTGCAGACTCAGACAAATTAATGACGGTATAAATCTTATGAGTAAGAAACATTTCTTTTTAAAACACACAAAAAAAAACAACCCAAAGTGTAGCGAAGGTGTGGTCGGTTCCCGTCTGTTTCAACTTAAACAGGATTGTCAGAGATTTATTCTGAGCCCGGCTGTTGCCAAGACGACACCTAGTGCTTGACGTGACATATGACGGACAGACATGACCCTAGACAGTGACGTAATACTTCCTCCAGCCACCATCAGGGCTTACACTGCGTCTGCAGGCCGTTCGATGCATATTTTATAGGTACATTCATTATAGGACGGAGTCCAGTTTTATGGTATTTGGAGGAGGGTTGCCAGGCGACACAAGATGCTCCGTCGGAGTTTTGGCCGCTGGTCTTCCAATGTTTTTCTCCAACATTTCCTTTACATTGGGTTCCCAGGGTTAGATGAGGACACACACTGCCTGGCTTCGCTTGTTATCCCATTGCTGTCAGTTTTTCTGTTTTTGGGGAAGACGCATTGCTATCCAATCAGACAGTCAAAATGTTTTCACATAATTATGCAAGGAAAACAATAATTAGGCATCGTGTGAAACGAGGGCCAATGTCTTCTTTGTATCTCTGTCTATGAGCAAGCCTGCCCTCCGAGGTCAAGATATATATATGATTGCAGTAATGCCGGGGCAATTTACACAAGAGTCGGGACTGGTTCACACTTGTGGTTGGGGGGGTGATAACAAAATGGTGGTTCACCTGTGTATTTACTGACCTCCCCAAGCTGCAAAGGTAGCTTAGCAGCAAAAATGGTCTCTGTTGAGTTTGTAAGGCAGCTGCGGTGAGGGATTTTAGGAGTTCAAATAGGCAATAGGGAGGTGATGTAATGTCAACTCACTGCCTTTCAATAGCCCTCTGAAAAGTGATCCACCGCAGATTGCTTTTTCAGAGGGCAACACAAGGGTAAATGAGAGTAGAGAGAGTACTGAGAGTTTGTTGGGTGAACTATGTGCAGGAGAGGAGTGTGGAGGGTATGACAGGGGGCAGTATGTGCAGGAGAGGAGTGTGGAGGGTATGACAGGGGCAGTATGTGCAGGAGAGGAGTGTGGAGGGTATATGACAGTGGGGGCAGTATGTGCAGGAGAGGAGTGTGGAGGGTATGACAGGGGGCAGTATGTGCAGGAGAGGAGTGTGGAGGGTATGACATGGGCAGTATGTGCAGGAGAGGAGTGTGGAGGGTATGACAGGGGGCAGTATGTGCAGGAGAGGAGTGTGGAGGGTATGACAGGGGGCAGTATGCAGGAGAGGAGTGTGGAGGGTATGAAAGGGGGCAGTATGTGCAGGAGAGGAGTGTGGAGGGTATGACAGGGGCAGTATGTGAGGGTATGACAGGGGGCAGTATGTGCAGAGAGGAGTGTGGAGGGTATGACAGGGGGCAGTATGTGCAGGAGAGGAGTGTGGAGGGTGAGGGCAGGTGCAGGAGAGGAGTATGACAGGGGGCAGTATGTGCAGGAGAGGAGTGTGGAGGGTATGACAGGGGCAGTATGTGCAGGAGAGGAGTGTGGAGGGTATGACAGGGGACAGTATGGGGCAGGAGTGTGTGACAGGGGAGAGGAGAGGAGTGTGGAGGGTATGACAGGGGGCAGTATAGTAGCAGGAGAGGAGTGTGGAGGGTATGACAGGGGGCAGTATGTGCAGGAGAGGAGTGTGGAGGGTATGAGGGGGCAGTATGTGCAGGAGAGGAGTGTGGAGGGTATGACAGGGGGCAGTATGTGCAGGAGAGGAGTGTGGAGGGTATGACGGGGCAGTATGTGCAGGAGAGGAGTGTGGAGGGTATGACAGGGGGCTGTATGTGCAGGAGAGAGTGCAGGAGAGGAGTGTGGGGGTATGACGGGGGTATGACAGGAGGGAGTGTATGTGCAGGGGGAGGAGTGTGGAGGGTATGACGGGGCAGTATGTGCAGGAGAGGAGTGTGGAGGGTATGACAGGGGGCAGTATGTGCAGGAGAGGAGTGAGTGTGGAGGGTTATGACAGGGGGCAGTATGTGCAGGAGAGGAGTGTGGAGGGTATGACAGGGTGCAGTATGTGCAGGAGAGGAGTGTGGGGGTATGACAGGGGGTAGTATGTGCAGAGAGGAGTGTGGAGGGTATGACGGGGCAGTATGTGCAGGAGAGGAGTGTGGAGGGTATGACAGGGGGCAGTATGTGCAGGAGAGGAGTGTGGAGGGTATGACAGGGGGCAGTATGTGCAGGAGAGGAGTGTGGGGGAGGGGAAGTTGTATGAGAGGAGTGGGGTGAGTATGTGCAGGAGAGGAGTGTGGAGGGTATGATGGGGGCAGTATGTGCAGGAGAGGAGTGTGGAGGGTATGACAGGGGGCAGTATGTGCAGGAGAGGAGTGTGGAGGGTATGATAGGGCAGTATGTGCAGGAGAGGAGTGTGGAGGGTATGACGGGCAGTATGTGCAGGAGAGGAGTGTGGAGGGTATGACAGGGGCAGTATGTGCAGGAGAGAGAGTGTGGAGGGTATGACAGGGGGCAGTATGTGCAGGAGAGGAGTGTGTGGAGGGTATGACAGGAGGTGGATGTATGTGCAGGAGAGGAGTGTGGAGGGTATATGACAGGGGGTATGTGCAGGAGAGGAGTGTGTGGGATGACAGGGGAGTATGTGCAGGAGAGGAGTGTGGAGGGTATGACGGGGGGAAGTATGTGCAGGAGAGGAGTGTGGAGGGTATGACAGGGGGAAGTATGTGCAGGAGAGGAGTGTGGAGGGTATGAGGGGCAGTAGTATGTGCAGGAGAGGTGTGTGGAGGGTATGACAGGGGGGGAAGTATGTGCAGGAGAGGAGTGTGTGGAGGGTATGACAGGGGGAAGTATGTGCAGGAGAGGAGTGTGGAGGGTATGACAGGGGGAAGTATGTGCAGGAGAGGAGTGTGTCTGCATGACTGGGGGCGTGGCAGGGGTGGAGCTCTTTACCTGCTTTGGGAGGTATGGTGACATCACCACCAACAGGAACTCCATCCCTGGAATTCATAGAGGGTCACAAATGTAGCCCCCCCTAGTGTAGGATGCTGGGTAAATTTAGTTTTTGGCTCCTCCTGTTATCAAGATAGCAGTGATCATTTCTCTTGGTCTCTTTAGGGGTTTCACAGGCTGGTTCGCTTTCCCTGCCTCTAGAAGAAGCTTCCAGAGCTTAGGGAAGGAGATGCAAATAGCCAGCTTGGATATTTATCATACTCCAACCAATCCCTGGAGAGGAGTGTCCAGTAGGGGGCTGGAAAGGTGATAAGTAGTCTGAAGCGCCAGAGAGCTGGGTCTCTCTCTCAGGTGAATTCTAGAGCCGGAGGGGCTGCTGCCCTCAGCCAGTTCATGGACTGTGTAGCTGCTGAGGGTCTGGTTGGATTTTCTTAGGAAGTGATTGTAGGACCTCACCACAAGGGATCTGCTCTGGAGAAGGACTGTCTCACTCACTGGACTGTGTTTGGAGTTAGCTGGAAGGTGGCAGCTGTCCTGGGGACTTATGAGTAAAGACCCTAAATTGATCCCTGTGACTGTGCTGTGTTCTGGATGACACATTGGCTACAAGTAGTTGTATGTAGGCACAAGGTAGCCAGAAGCCAAAGAAACTTGCCGCATGTTCCCCAGCTGTGAGGCTTTAGACTGTCCAATACTCCCAAGCCTGTCCTGTAATTGCTGTGCGCCATTCGTGTTGCAGTCCCCCCACCCCCGAACCCTCTCCTGTTAAAGTTTCTTCACCCAGTAAATCTTAAAAAGCCGTCCCCTAGACCAGGGGTCACTAAATGGTGAGCTGCGAACAGCCCCAGCAGTGCTGCCCCCCGGACCACCAGCCCTCAATGAGAGATCCGCGCCACTGAGCAGGGCGGTCATCATGGCAACATGACATCACGTGTGCGCCCCGCCCCTTTCATCACACTGTCTCTACGGCTCCCTCTCCCTGCCTGTACACAAGAGTCCAGCAAGGATCCCGGTACAGCCCCTGGCTGCCCTCAAGGTAGGGTGTAGTCTTACAAGGGCACTCTCTGATGGGCACAACATAGACATATGTGCCCATCAGAGTGCCCCTTTACATAACATGTGCCCATCAGAGTGCCCCTTAACATAACATGTGCCCATCAGAGTGCCCCTTTACATAACATGTGCCCATCAGAGTGCCCCTTTACATAACATGTGCCCATCAGAGTGCCCCTTTACATAACATGTGCCCATCAGAGTGCCCCTTTACATAACATGTGCCCATCAGAGTGCCCCTTTACATAACATGTGCCCATCAGAGTGCCCCTTTACATAACATGTGCCCATCAGAGTGCCCCTTTACATAACATGTGCCCATCAGAGTGCCCCTTTACATAACATGTGCCCATCAGAGTGCCCCTTTACATAACATGTGCCCATCAGAGTGCCCCTTTACATAACATCCCACAGAGTGCCCCTTTACATAACATGTGCCCCTTTACATAACATGTATCCATCAGAGTGCCCCTTTACATAACATGTATTCATCAGAGTGCCCTTAACATAACATGTATCCATCAGAGTGCCCCTTTACATAACATCTATCCATCAGAGTGCCCCTTTACATAACATGTATCCATCAGAAAGCGGCTACATTTTGGACACCAGATACGATTCAGAATAATTTCCATCAAAGTGATGCTTTACATAAACATTAATGCCCATCAGAGTTCCCCTTTACATAACCGGTGCCCATCAGACCCCTCACATGGATATACACTGCCCATCAGAGTGCCCCTTTAAACAACATGTACCCATCGGAGTGCCCCTTTACATAACATACCCATCGGATGTGCTTACATAACAATGTACCATCACCTGCCTAATGCATTTTATGTTTAAGGGTCACACAAATGGTTACACATACCAGTGGAAAGGGCACTCTGATGTACCATCATGTATTATGAAAGGAGCACTCTGATGGGGCAAAATGGCTAATATGTCACCATATGGTGAGCTGAGGGGTACTTTGAGTGTAAAGGGGCACTACTCAACGGGTCATACCTGATGTAAGGTGGCAATGTGATGGGGATGCCTGATGTAAAGGGGCACTCTGACATTTCTACATGCCACGAGCTATGCAAGGCTGTATTGGCGCCAGGGAGGGCACATACTGATGTAAAGTTGCACTCTGATGGAGGACCCCTAATAACATCACACTGATGGGCACAGGCCTATTCAGACTGTTGGCCAGAAGAAGAAGGTTTTTAGTGACCGGATCTCCTTGAATTTAATTCAATCCCCAGATTGACCCTAGACTGTTTATTTCCGCCGCTGTCATTGGATGTATCATGGTGGTGCAAGGCAGTCTGTGTATGTTACACAACCAAGAACCAGTTTCACCAAAGGCCTTACTTCATCACGTCTATTACAGGGGTTATAGTCCACACGTTGTGGTGAAGAAACCATGTAAAGCAGGGCCTTGTACCTACTGCATTCACTGACACCAATGCTGGGGGTTATTATTACACTTACTGACACCAGTGTTGGGGGATTATTACACTCACTGACACCAATGCTGGGGGTTAAAATTACACTTACTGACACCAATGTTCAGGATTATTATTGCACGCACTGAAACCAATGTTGGGGGTTATTATTGCATCCACTGACACCAATGTTGGGGGTTGTTATTGCACTCACTCACCAATGCTAAGGGGGGTAACTATTGCGTCTAATGATACCATTGCTGGGGCTGGGGCTTTGTACTCCCTTATCTGAGGATAATTTTTATTGTACACATTGATTTCATGGGCTAAGGGTTATATCTCCGCTGACACAAATGCTGGGAGTTATTAGGCATCTTTTGCTTAGCGTGTTTCATAATCCCTGATTACTGACACCGATTTGGGGGTTATTACCTCCTACTGGTAGTGTAACACATGTGGACAGTGCTGCAAATGCACATACTGACCAGGTATTGGGGGTTATTTATCTCATTCACTGACACATCCATATTTTGACCATCTTGATGTGGTTTTAATGGGGTTTTAGGTGCAGCTAATATCTCATATGAGGTGATGGTGAACCGGGGTAATTACCCTATTAATGTTTAATAAACTCACTGAAAATTACCAATGTATTCTGGGATGTATTAGTGCACTCACTGACACCAATGTTGGGGGTTATTTTTCATTACCCCAGAGTGCCCCTTAATATAACATGTACCCATAGTGCATGCATTCACTCACTGACACCAATGTTGGAGGTTATTAGTGCACTCACTGACACCAATGTTGGGGGTAATATATTAGTGCACTCACTGCCCAATTATTATTCATTGCACCCTGACACCAAGTTGGGGATTATTAACTCACTGTACACCATGTTGAGTGTTATTAGTGCATCACTGACCCATCAGGGTTATTTTACATAACTGTACACCAATGTTGCCCCTTTATTATTGCACATACTGACACCAATGTTGGGGTTATTATGTGCATAACTGACACCAATGTTGGGGTTTTAGTGCATCACTGACACCAATGTTGGTGGTTATTATTGCACATATACACTGACACCAATGTTGGGGAATTATTATTGCACATATGACATCAGATGTTGGGGGTTATTATGCACTATGACACCAATGTTGCCCCTTTTATTAGTGCACTCACTGACGGGTGCCCCACATAACAATGTTGGGGGTTATTCTGCACTCACTGACACCAATGTTGGGGGTTATTAGTGCACTCACTGACACCAATGTTGTGGGGCACTTATTATTGCAGGTGGCAATGTGACTGACACCCTGATGTGCACTCTTGGGGATTATTAGTGCAAAGGGACACCTGATGGGGGATGTATTAGTGCACTCTGATGACACCAATGTTGGGGGTTATTAATTGCACTCACTGACACCAATGTTGGGGGTTATTATGTAAGGGGTGGACACCAATGTGGGGGTTATTATGCACTCATGAAACCAATGTTGGGGGTTATTATTGACTGACACCAATGTTGGGGGTTATTATTGCATCTACTGACACCAATGTTGGGGGTTATTATTGCACTCTGACTGACACCAATTTTGGGGGTTATGTAGTTGCACTCTGACTGACACCAATGTAAGGGGGCATTATTATTGCACTCTACACTGACACCAATGTTGGGGGTTATTAGTGCACTCACTGACACCAATGTTGGGGATTATTATTGCACGCACTGACACCAATGTTGGGGGTTATTATTGCACTCGCTGACACCAATGTTGGGGGTTATTAGTGCACTCACCTTGGCCAGAAGATAATTTTAGTGACACCAATGTTGGGGATTATTATTGCACGCACTGACACCAATGTTGGGGGTTATTATTGCACGCACTGACACCAATGTTGGGGATTATTATTGCATCTACTGACACCAATGTTGGGGATTATTAGTGCACTCACTGACACCAATGTTGGGGGTTATTAGTGCACTCACTGCACCAATGTTGGGGTTATTACTGCACTCACTGACACCAATGTTGGGGGTTATTATTGCATCACTGACACCAATGTTGGGGTTATTACTGCACTCACTGACACCATGTTGGGGTTATTATTGCACTCGCTGACACCAATGTTGGGGGTTATTATTGCACTCGCTGACACCAATGTTGGGGTTATTATTGCACTCACTGACACCAATGTTGGGGGTTATTAGTGCACTCACTGACACCAATGTTGGGGATTATTATTGCACTCACTGCACTCGCTGACACCAATGTTGGGGGTTATTAGTGCACTCGCTGACACCAATGTTGGGGGTTATTATTGCACTCGCTGACACCAATGTT